ACGTAGGTCAAGAACGATTTTAATCTCGTTTCGATTTGCTATACATTTAGCTTATTCAATTAGGTATTGTTGCTGGGTATTTCAGTGTCGATGAAGTCATGTTAGGAGTGATTTGTGATTTGCAATCATTTTGTTTTTTTTTGTCACGTAAATAATTTAGGTTTGCGGTAATTAGGCGTGTTTGCGATTTTCTTGTTCAAACATCCGTGTCGATTTTTATTTTGATGTTTCGTCGATAAAAAAAACAATTACATAACTATTACTAATTAAACGTACCATGCTTGGTAATTCGTAAAAGGGTCGAGCAAGTTGATAGTTCTATTTATGACTGTATATATAAAACTATTAAGCATCTACGGCTTGGCTATCTTAGTACATCTTCATGATAGCTACTTGGAAAAATTCTTATTTATTTAAGAGATCTATTGTTTCAGTTTTCACGTAGTCTACTCTATACTACTTTAAAGTAAGCTACGAAGTGATCTTTTCGCAACTTGTGCGGTACAATCCGAGTACCCTTCACCTCGAAACTACAAAAATACCGCTCAACTTAACGACCTAAAGAACACACAAGAACAAAGAAAACGTATCAATTAAACAAATACAGGAAATGAACATTCGCTTACAGTTAATTATGAAGTAAGTTGGGCGATCAAAAAAGAGATTGTCACGTGCGAAGGAGGTACACATTAACATAGTCCTTGTTTTTTCGTCTCAGATTCGTGACACATCGTGTGTGAGCCCTGTGGTAAATAATAAATCTTTCTAATAAATAAAACAAGGGAACGTGAGCGAGATAAAGCGCGCATGCGCGTTCGGTGCGCCCTAAACGCCATTGTGGACGCCGACGCGACGGCTGATCGTTAAACGAAGGTGAAAACATTTTTGTGCCTTTTTTAAAAGATCAACTCGATGTGTTGATGTTTTCATGTTAACTTGTGGTACGAGTAATTGTTTGATGTCTTATGCGCTTACGCAGGAGACTGTTTGCTGAGACTTTGGAGTCAAGCTTTATGTATCTAATGGCATAGATGGTGGCAGTCGATTATGTTGCTATTTTCTTTTAATTTGATTAAAAGCTATAGACTTTTGTACAATTGTAATCGCTAATCTAATTACTATATATTTCCAAGTGATTGTTAGTATAATGTATGCTGCATGCTATTTAGCTTTTCGCATACTTACATTATTTAATTTTATACTCGTAAACGTCAGTTCATACCGGTATGGTTTGGGGTGCGCCCAATGTGGTATCTAATGTAAACTGAATGCCACTCAACTATAAATGTACTATTAAAGTTTGCAACTACAATGCTCCTGAAAGTTATAGGAAAACCATGACTCACGATGATTATGACGACTTTGGATTCGATACCGTAGTACCTACTTAACGTTATAGTACGCAACCTTATTTGTGTATCTTATACTCTTATACTATTATATAAAGCGAAAGAGTTTGTTTTTTTGTTTGATCGCGCTAATCTCCGTAACTACAAGTTTGATTTGAATAATTCTTTTTGTGTTGGATAGCTCATTTATTGAAAAAGGCTATCAGTCTTTTTATGCATGCACGTCAGTTAAAGGGTACTTTGAATTTGGCCCTTCTTTAATATATCGCCAATCTGGTCGATATATGTCCGCCCAGTCGATACATGTATCAGTAAATAAACGTTTTTTTCATTGACTGTGGTCATAAGAGCGACTACCAAGCCAGAAGTCTTGTGTTCAGTTAATCAACCCACTAGGGTTGTACTAACAAAACCTAGGAAGGATGTTTTCGATAATTCCTAAATTGTTTAGCAAAACCACGGAGTCTGGAAAGTACTGACCGTTATTAATTATTATCAATAATTATGAGGGAAACAAAAGTAGACGTCTTATGGATGACATAACGTGAATGATTTATATCACATGAAAATTTTACACATTTATTTAATTTTTTAACGATTTTTTATTGTTAAGGGATAAACCCGCAAACGACCAGATCGTAGCAATAATCTAAGGCGTTACCGGCAAGGATTAGGAATTTGACGGTTGTTAGGGATTCAGGGATTGGGGAGATTGGGCAGGTTTGTTTCACGTCGGTTTTCATAGTATCACTCCGGCCGAGCTGGCCCTTTCGAAACCGAAACATAGCTCACAGCCCACACTTCACACAAAATATATTTAAAAATATAGTTACAAAATTCAAATCCGACCCTGTCACCTGCTACTTATACTAACCCTCTCATAATTTCCGACCAATCAAGTTTCTTCAAAACATTTCTTAAGGAAAAAAATGGTGACCCAACTCTATCCACAATGTGGTAGGTCATTCTCAATGAGCTTCGGTTGTTAATGTGTAAATATGTGTTTCACATTTACACGGCTGTGACATCCACGAACGTTGTGGTCGGAATGTGGAGCCGCGCGGTCGCGACCGCGGGCCGACATCACATTGTCACACGGAGACCAACAGCTATTGATATTGCCGCCAGTTGCTTCTTTATTTTATTTCCTATCCTAGTGGATATTTGGATATTATTCTAAGAAGTAAATATTCATATATATAACAAAATAATCTTTTTGATATCTGTATTAGTTAATGTATTTGATATGTAGGTATATAGAAAGTATTATTCAATACTTACTCCCTCGCTGAATAGTGCAGCATATCAATAAATTTCTTTTGTGTTAGGATAGGTCAGCAAATCTACATAATGTAATGAAAATCTGTGAAAATCCTAATGAATTTACAATAACTATCGTGGGTATACTAAATTAACTAAAAATCGCAGCCTACTCACTGCGCGACATCGCCGCGACCGCGCACGCTGCTCATGAGGAAGAACCCCTCTGTGGTTCGAAACTAGTAGAGCTTACTCAGTATATTCACGTGAGTAACCCGCGATTTTTAGTTAATTAATGTACACTTCACTATTGCACAACACTATTTAAAAGGTAGGTATTTAAGATGAATAATAAGTCCAAATATTACACCACTTACTGTCATACGAACAAAACTACTAACAATCATTAATTCGTATGTTGAATGTTGTTGGTTGTTGTTAACAACTTGCGATATAGTTAGTAATTCAAGTGTAATGAAGATTTTTTTAAACTTAGTTCATACACTTATTTCAATTATAGGCATTATCATAATTCATTATTTTAATTAGGTATTCTTCTCATTTTATGGGATAAAGACTGATCACTTGACTAGTAAGTGATTAGCGCCACCTATGAGCATCAGTAACAGCAGAGGAGTTCAATGACGCCTTTTCCGGGCCTTAAGCCGTGATGTTATGATGTAATGTCATGTTACGATGTCCTAAGTATAAATAATTATTAGCTCTCATTAATTACCATTCCAATTACCGTTACGTTATCCACTTTTGAGACAGGTACCACCTCGGAGCTTTATTTGCTATCATCATTTAATAATAAGAAGCCGATGCTTTCGTTTCATCCGACAACTCCAAATGTAACACCCGCAGGTTTTTGACGACTTATAGCGTCGTCGTCACAACAGATTAAACAAATATGGCGGGACTCGTTTGACAGTTCGCTTTGTGATCAGTAGCGGGACGTGTTACACAACACAAATAAACATACACACGCTAACGACTCACCATTCGATTTCAAACCTTATCTGATTGACACATAGTTCAAGTGTAGAAGACTGGTAGAAAAGTTAATGTTGTGTGTCGAGTTTTTTATTATTTTTCAGGTCCCATCGCCTTGGTCGTACTAATTTGTCGGAGACCAAGTCACCAATGCAAATATGGCTGGTGTTGTGAATACCTTGTGTAAAGATATGAAATTGTTTCCAAGCTCGACTCATGGGAACATGCGTGATCCGTGTTTGTGACTTAGAAATAATATTTTAATGAAATATTTGTTTAAGACCTTTTTATCGGATATCTATATGATTATGAGATTTTATTAACATGGACTTTGTGGGTGGTAAAGATGAGAACATGATCGAGTTGATGATGAATCATTATGGCCCATTCATTGAGATTTCCCTTACCCAAAATCATGATCATCATATCTTTTGAAAAAAGGCAAGACATTAGTTATTATAACCGCAAATGTGCTCTTTCCTTGTGTTAATCATCAAGACCATTCACGATCACCTGATGTCATAAAATTTCCAGGAGCGTCTTTTTTAGAGGTATGTTTTAAAAAAATAAAAATAAAAAACGTTGACATAAATGTAATAATAATTTAATTTCACAAACATAACCAGGTATGTTTGTGCCGCAGTTATAAATAGGTACTATTTGAACTATACAAATATTGATTAAGTTATAAATACACTGGCTCTGTATTTTTACAATAATATAATTAACAGCTCTATTAAAGCTAGTCATATTTCATTGGATTTCAGTAACATATAAATAGTTAACAAATAGTCAAGTAATACTAAGGAAAGTAGGAATATACAATTAAAATTATTCGTCTCAGCCTCGAGCTACCATGTCATAATATAGATAATTAAATATCGACAGCAGAATAGAAACTGTTCTGATACACCGTTTGACACATTCAATATTCCGACTCAACAATTTCATCAACAGTCCAAGTGCTGGAATGAAGTCTAATACTAAAATCTAAATTAAATAATACGAATAATAAAGAAATTGAAACTAAAGTGGAGTTAAGCGAGAAATAAATAAAACCTTGACTAGGATAATCGGGAAATTTAGAATGTTAATCAGCAGACAATAAATAATACATTTTAAATTCGTCACTATTTACAAAAAAGGAACTAATTCTTTCTAGACCAAAATGGCAATGTAATGGCAAAGACAGTTTTTCTATACATTAATTCGCTATTCAACAGCCAAAAGATGCAAATAATTCTACTAGAAAGAGTTTTTCATGGGTCTGACTAATACTGAAGAGCACTGCTTCGCCACGCGAGCACCAAGATTAAGTAGGCAGCCAAAAGTTACATGGGGTGTGCAGTTTCTCTTCGAGTCACATTGTAAGACTCTTGTTCATAACTGCTGTATTCAAGCAGATTCCGTGTCGTAAACTTTCTGGAACACCTGTGCGAGGTACTCCAAGTAGTTCAGGGTGTCCCTGTATAGGAGAGCGCCCATGTTGCTCTGCAAGTCAGGGATTTCAGATTCCAGAAGTTTATCGATCTTCAGGTTGCGAACGTGCATGATGTCCTGCAAAAAAGAGAAATTGAATAAGTAAAGTGTCGTAAAAACATAATTATTCTTGGGTTTTTTTTACATTATTGTGAATTACGTTTACGTAGTAAAGATTTGTGACTAGTTCTACAAATTCCATGATGTACATTTTAGTGATACTTACATTAAAATAGCATAGAACAGCTCGCACATCGTGCATTGACTGAGTTATGTTTGACTTCAGGCTCTCGTCCGCTATTATGCTGGTGTTCGAGAGCTCTTCAGAGAACTTGTTCAGTCCTCCAACAATCATCTTCAGCCCTTTGTACATCCCTGGCAATAACTCGTCGAGTTTTGGCTGTGGACAAAACAGAAGATAATTAGTGACCAAGTTTTTCAGAACATTTTTAACTTTTGATTGCAAAGTACGACCCAAAACTGCATCGGATTGCCAAACTTTCTAAAACTGATAAGGACAATCGCAATCATCCTAAATTCGATTACATTTTTGATTGTGTAGCATTGCGAAACCATTGTGTTCTCACGTAAGCGATAGTCGGCCGACAACAATGAGTGCCACCGACGATGTCGATTCTTTGAAATCGATTGAAAAACTCATACGGATGCACGTTTTTGGCATCAGCGAATTCGCCGCCCTTCTGTGATTGTTTTCATTTAGGAAACGTCAATCTGGCAACGTCCGTGTTATCAAAATCTGATGGTTTGTATTTTTCAAAACTAAAGAGTATTTAAAGATCTATAAGTATAAATTAGATGCTTACCATTAACAGATTAATGTATTCATCAGGCAGCTGTTGGTAAAGGACTTTCTCCTTCGGCAGCCATTCCTTAGGGAGGTACTCGGATGATTCCCACGGGCCAAGAAGGTCTTCAAATTTGGGATAACTATGAAGCATTGACGCCTGAAACAAATTAAATAATATTTCGTTAGTAATGATCGAACAATTTTATAGAATTATGCAAGGTACAGAACATAAAATAAATTTAAGTAGAGAAAATTTACAATAACACGACTTTTCTATAGCTAAATAATACGAGTAAGGTACATCATCAGTGAATCAACGGCTATTGAGAACACTTGTATTCTATGAAAGATAGAAATAGATCGAGTTAATAGGATAAGTTGATTGACTTTCATGGAAAAGGAAGATTGAGCGGACGATGAGTCCGAGCTGTTTCCTGGATTGATGGTATAAATGTGATTCGAGTGGGGAGAGCTCTGCAGTGGCCAGTGGAGAACTGAGTATTTGGGTGATAGTGTCAAATATTAGAGAAATTTTAGTGAAATTATTGACGGAGGTATGTACTCAATACCAATTTCTTAATTTGACTTATTTTAAGTACCTGTAAGTGTGAAAACTGGCTTCATTTTTAACAAACCCTTAGATTTAAAGCACATATCTACCTATATACTAGTAACTTCTTGAGAAGAAATATTCTAATCAATGGAAAAATTCAAAATACACAAACAGAAAAATAGGGCAGAAAACATAAATATCAGCAAATGAAGTTAAAACACCCACGTACGTACACGCGTTACCTAGTCACAAATTGTTCTTAGAAATGACAAACGTTTACTGCCCTCTGGAGAAACAAACCAAAACAACAAGATCTATAAAGAACTGAGAATTATTCTATTCAATAGATCAATTTGTGCTGGAGGCACATTCGTAACTATCATCTATTTATTTTAAGACTCCATCTTTCAATTAGATAATCACAAATAAAGACTAGATGATCTTTATCGATATTAATAGTCAAGCTTTGTTTTTGTATTGACTAATCTTTAATACTAGCACTAGATTTGATTAGATCAAGTGAGATTCAATTCGATATTTATTGCACATAAATATTCGATACAAACGTTCAAGATAATCGATTTTATTGACAAGCGAAGGTCGTGTGTAAGATGAGATTGAAACCAGAGGTTTGTGGCCGCCGCCGACGACATTTCACGTAACAAAACCGTTTCGACATTAAAATTTGACACTGGCCGTATCACACATTATGATAAGGGTATAAACAAAAACTGTCCTTGTACTATTAACCTTAGAGTCGAAATAGCTTTGACAAATCAAACAATCGGGGCTGGACTGGCAGATGTAACGCGTTGTATTTAAGTATCCCTTTATAAAAATACTTTAGACAACAATACGACTAATTAAAACTTTTACAAAACCCTACAAAACCTCAAAAGTACAGCTACGCAACTGTTTATCGGTGACGATCAGAAAACGTTGTCCAAATATTAATTTGCTTCATTGAAATTGAGATACCGCTGATATAAAATTTGCTGATAATACGCGCAATGAAATAAATTTACGATTATTTCTTTGGACATAAACCGAGTCGCGGTGTATGAATGGATTCAAAGCGGAGATATTATCCGATGCCGAAGTGGTAAGTAATTGGCAGGAAAATTAGAGTTTACAGACCTTAAAAATTTAAAAAATAAAATTTTTGAATGTTAATGTTTTGTCGGCAAATGAATGTAGTGCAGATGATTTCACAAAACAAGAAGTGTAAGAATGTAATGATATCGTACAGAGATGGAATGTGCTATGTAGTCACTGGCACACTAAATGTAACAGGTGTGCGTCCGGTCTATCGGACCATATCCGAAACATTACCTACTAGCTGTGTGGAGCTTACGACCAAACTAAGGCGTATCTGCATTATAGCATACATTAAGAATGCTGTACCTTCCCATCACTTTAATGTGGTAGTTACGATCGAGGACGTAAAAGATGCAAATTCTGCAATTGCGAAATTAGGTATTTGGTAACAGTTAAATATTTAATTGAAGAGTTTTAATAAAAGAGTTCTAATAAAAACGAGTTCTAATTTGCGAAATTCTATTGTAGTTCAATGAATTTAAATGAACTGCAGACACGAGTTTTCTCAACATGGTATAAAGTAAACCGGTAAGAATTATATGGATTCAGCACATTGCAGTTACCGTGGGTGGGCACCAACTGAGAAATTCGATGACTTAGCATCCGAATGCCTAGCTCGAAACATCGGAAGCTTATCAAATAAACATGCACCCACACAAGCGCAGACATTGATATATTTACGGCACACGTACGCACCCAACGCCGCAGACAGCCTGTCGCCCGTGTGAACAACGCTATCGTACTATGTACGTACATACATATTGTATGTATGTGCTATGTAATTCAATGTTTATATAGCGTAGCTATTGCAAAGATAAGCGAGCAGATGCACACGAGTTGCGAGTGTTGCGACGCGCGGCATGCCACGAGCCGATCGCTATCGCCGATCGGGTTACATCGCGAATACACCATTCATTTGTTTATCGTAATTACTTTCAAAAGTTTACGAGCATTTTTTAAGGAAGCGAGTTGAATTCCAGTGTCGAAAATGTGATGCGATAATATGACACCGGTGTAGTCAAAAGCACGAGTGTTATGACACATTCACACGGTGGCCGGTGGCGAGTCACACAGTACCGGTAGAGTTCGTTGAATTTGTTATTGCGTTCTTAGTACAACGCGGCCAGTTATTATTTATACGGAATGGGCTTGACGACAGATGTAGCAGCCTGATTTATTTAGGATATATTGTCTCTCAGACGTAACTTAGACGTTTATCTGGTTTAATGTGATGACAAATATTAACAGGACGAGATTGAAAATTATGATAAGCAAACAATTTTTGTTGAAAACGGGAGCTCAAACAAAGAAAACGTAGACGTCCTTGTGGACTAGCAACAATGGTAGTTCATCGCCACGATTTGCGTGTAAATTGCAATAAATATGATACATTAGTACCGAATGACCGACATTAAGGGGAGAGACAGAAAAAATCGTCGGGCAGGTGTGTCGCGCAATACTAATGCGCAATCAGTATTCGAGGCGTACGCGCACCGTCCTGTACCTCGTTCCGGCTACTGTGAGTCGATAATGTCGTTTTACGAGGAGGCAGCGGACAGGACGTCGCCGTCGTTACGACCGTCGAGCCTATTACAATGCCACCATACCTCATACGCGAACATCACACTCGATAACTGGACACATTCGACATAAAAGCTTCCATTGTTCCGCTACCATTGACTGCCCACCTCTCAATAAATCGATTATATTGACAACACTCGCCGAAATGTATACGAGTTCCCCCTCGGGTATCGAGTTGCTACTGATTGCGTTAGTAAAGAGTCATCCATAAATGATTCGAGGCGCGACTTCGACATCGCATTATTTCTCGTTGATCGGCTCACCTTACTTCCGATTCGGAAATTATTATATTCCTAGGATTGAAATGATAGAGCCGTCATATGAATTGTTGTATTAACATGCTAAACGTTTGTTTCTAATAATTCGTGAATGTTTTATGAATTCTTGAATGTAGGTTGAATTGTCTGCGATTCTTGTGCGACCATATTACCATCTGATAAGTTTAGGTGTTTTGTTTTTATATGAACTGGTTTATTATAAACTTGCTGTATATAATTAAGCTAACTGGTTTGAGCTAAATGTTCAGTATATACCTTACAATGAGTAATTTAAGCACACAGACAAGATTGGTGATCAGGGAATATGATTTGATCAGTAACATTTTATTGTCATTTAACATGACGTGTTCTGTTTACAAAGTATTTTATCGACATGGCGTCACAGAAATGCAGTGCGAAATTATAATTAAAAGGGAGGAAGCGGTCGGCCGGACGTAGAGACGCGAAACGGCGGCGCCCGGCCGATGCAATCTCTCTTCCACGCTTGTGCCCGCGCAACTCTGCGGTGAGAAAATCGCGCCAAAAACGTGCACGCCGTGAATCTTTAATGGGTCAGATTTCAAGTGAAACTTTTGGCAAAATCAATAATGTTATTCTAATTCTTTAGATTTATTTATTTCATTCGCAGAAGTCAACGTCATTCAACAGAAATAAATAAATGCAATTCAAAATGTTAACAATAAATTACAGATCGTTCACTTTGCATTATATCCCAATAATTTGAAAGAGGAAGTACGAAAAATCGGTGCTAACCATTTGCAGGGTTTACGCGCACGTCAGCTGAATACTATAGCACCTCTTACAGACTCTCATACATAAATCAATAATATCTGCGTAGATACAAACGCTAAAGGCATGCGTCGACGTTAGGCTTAAGTTTTATTGGTATTGGTCGACCGCAAGCTCCGTCCGTTCATTTAGAGCGACGCGGCGGGCATATAGATGTGGACGCGAATACTACGCGATATCGCGATCGCCTCGTGCAAAATCAATGAATGAAAGCGAAGAAAGGCCTTCGGTGCCAGCATTCGCGCTTTTGTACTTCGAAGAAGTTATTCTTCATAACTTGTAGAGGTCCATAACCTTGAGTTCTCTAGAGAAAATCTAATCGCTTCATAGACAGGTTACATTTTATGATCAACTGGTGATTAATTCAAATGATGATGTCCCAAATATTAATTCCCTGGCTCACTGTGATCAAATCCTTTCAAAAGTAGATAAACATATATTCACTTGGTAATTCTACTACAAGAAGTTACGAATTTTGCAAGGTCTTTGCAACTATTATGAAATAGGCTCTTAGAGTAAAAGCAGTACTGTGTACTTACAAATGTATCCTTGTACTTCTCAGTTGATGAGAAAGTGTTTTTTGCTTGACGGACGAGCTTCAACGCGACCTCTTTTGTTGGTGGGTAATGTAGTTTTGACTGTAAAAAAAATAAGTGTTAGCATTATTTTGCACACAATATTAAAACATCAAATAAAAATGTATTTCTACTACTAAACTTTGTTTATTATCATGTTTACCCCATTTTGTATCCAACTTTTCCATAATCATCTACAATTCAGATATTTGATTGATTTTTACATTAACTACGTTTATCATTGCGGTATTTTCTGTGTGCCTGTGGTCATTAATCAAATCATGCGGTTGGTAAAGTCAACCGCAAAAATATGGCATGAATACAAAGTGCGGAAGTTTGTTGTTATAATCTGTTAACAGATTTTTGCAAGTTGTTAACAGTTCAAGTCTATTACGTGTAGTTAAACACACTTAACAACAACTCTATTCATTTGTGTATTTATTCCATGTCGTTATCGTCTAAAGCTTAAACTCTTTCTTCAAATACGGTTTCATTCTTCTGATTTTCTCAACCATTTGGTCTACAGCGAAAAATAACTTACTTGAGAATCATTATAATCGCAGGGGTTAGCCCACAGTGGGTTCTCCTCATCCGTGTCACGTCTCTGCCGCTCCATGCTGGCCCGGCTTCGATGTGGCGCCGCCGACGACCTCGGTGACAGACCGCACACCAACAGTAGCAGGCACACCGCCGCGCAGACGTTGACGTATCCTAAGTAATAAATATGAATTAGCATGGAATATATTGGAAAATTTTTAAATTACCAACCAACCAACCCTATAAGATTTTAACTGTAACTTAAAAATAATTGCCCTAGACGTTTGTACTTCAACTGGACATAAATGTTTACAAAAGATGGAAATTTGGTCACTATATAAAACTGAACTGTAGTGTCGTGGTGGCCCGGAGGTTTAAGACGCCCACTTCTCATGCATGAGGGTGCGGGTTCGAAACCTACCAACGGCAAGTACCAATCTGACTTTTTCCGAGTTATATGTACTTTCTAAGATTATTTAGACACCACTGACAAACGGTGAAGGAAAAACATCGTGAGGAAACCTGGACTTATAATTTCTAATTATAAGTTTGAAATCGCCAACCCGCATTGAGCAAGCGTGGTGATTAATGCTCTAACCTTCTCCGTGTGAGAAGAGGCTTTGCTCAGCAGTGGGCATTTATAGGCTGTTGATGATGATGAAAACTGAACAGTAATCAGGGCTTGGTTTTGTTTGTTCAAGTCGAATCTTACAATGCATTGCGGTCATTCATATTCATTTCTGAATGAAAGCTCTCATATTTTTTTCAATGCATCTCATTTAATGAAAACGCTCAAGAGCCACTTGTTCCGTATGCGGCACGCGCGATGGTATCGATTATGGTAATCGATGAACATCCGATGAATAAATACATCGCGGCCCAGAGGTGGACAGCCTTTGCTAATTGTCCAGTGAACCTGTGTGAATCACTAATGCGGCACTATTTAACGGTGGCGCGGTAATCGGACTCACATTCTTCAGATAGGTTACTTCATCCAACCTATTGAGTCGATTTTTAATATAAAATTATTTAATGGAACATACTCGTGCTATTACAAAGTTATCTATTGCAATGGTAATTGCATTTTTATAGGGGAATATATTTTGCTTAATTGTATATTATGTCACTTGGATATGTAAATAAAAGTTATTTTCAATTTTACAGATAAAGAAATATTAATTGAAACTAACAACTGTCACCAGCAGAAGGTGTCCATCGTTGACGCAGAAGTATTTATTAACTTGACATTCGTTTTACTCGTTAAAATGGAATAATATTATCCACGTTAAAGGAAATAATTTGATGTGTGATTGACATAATTTTTTATTTGAATGTAAAGTTAACTTGGTGCACCTGTATATTATACCCAAAAAACTGTTCATTTGCAAGTAATTTGAATAATTGGATATTGTTAGGATGATTTCAAATGCAATAAATTTATAATAACGTTTATGTTAGCAGAGAAGCGATATGAATTATGAGCTGTCAGCCGGCGGAAATGTCACTGGACGGATCCAAGTTCTGAAACCTACTTAGGTACATGGCTATGAAAAACTTTAACATTTACTTCATTTCGTAGTATAAATGTAAAGTGGTATAGGTCATGATAATTCTATCTTACAATGACGATCATTATTTCCCATTCTAGCGGTAGATAAGGACCAATTACATAAACTGATAAATTATTACGTATGTAAAAAAAAACTGTAATGTCATATTATCAGGAGCTACGTATTACCCCAACATTTGACGTAGATAAAACAATTAGTTCATTATTAAAGATAATGAGCTGCCTTTGCTCGACAATTAAAATAAATGAAATTAATCAGGTCTCCCATTGTTTATCTTTGTATATAAATCACATTGTGATCTTCGACTTTGTGCTTGACGTCTAGAAAATATAACTTGATTAACGTCTTGAGGAAAATGAAAGCAATATGAATGCAATTATTTCCATTACATATTACATTTTTGTTATGTTTTCTCTTCATAAATTAAATAGTTTTTATGAACAGAATAAGATATTTGGAATAATTTGAAATAAAATATAATGATTAATTATGATTTTATTTAGGTAATCGAATCAATTGGTGTCTCTCGAAATGTCATTGACCATAATTATGTTAGAACTAATAAATGGGCGCGATATCAGAGTTACACCGAGTCACTCGCGTAGAATGTTATTTGTTTTTTCAGTGTTTTGACTCAAGGTGTGAATCATGAATATTATGTCTGGTGGTTAGTGACTAACGTAGGTAAAGATCTCACTGTTAGGTATTTGCGATGGCGTTATAATATACCAGAACTATAAGAACTTCTTTTTAAATATGCAAGGTTCGTACTTTTTGTTATTTGGCGATTGGCCATGATCTGTCTCAGTGTTTTGTAAACAAAATGCTTGAGTGTTACTCATCGTATTGAATGTGCTATGCCAGCACTTCACAAATCTCATTCATCATTACATTCACATAAATTAGTACAAATGTGTGCGTGTGAATTTTTCATCATCTCGTTAGCGCTCGCGGTTTCGCTGCGAGGGCTGCAGGCACCGCGGACAAATAAAAGAATATTATAGTTATAGGGCGCTCAGCCGCTTATTATTTAACTAGACCCTGTGAACTGATACCGATTACCCTTGTAAAAATAAACGTAGACACTCCCTGCACGAAATATATAACGAACAATTTGCATAAACAAATCCCACTCATTAAGTATGCAATCCGTATAACTAGCCGTGATTTAGTTGTAGGTTATATTGCCCTCTAATTGACACCATAATAATGTTGTACCAATTGGGTTACAAAAGACGACCGCAAAGGTGGAGTCGGGCAATAACGATCATGTCAAAAGGAAGGTCCGACACACAGAACACGCGTTAAACACACGATCATAACATTTTATTAGTGCTCCGGTCAAAAGCAACCGCGGGACCGCCGTCAAAAGTTCACGAACAAAAAAACAACAGGTCAGCTCGTAAAAGACGTAGAGTCACTGTGAGACAAATATTTTCACTGAGTAACCATGAGATGAAGATAAAAATATAGGGAAATTAAATCTTTACCGTAAATGACAAGAAAGCTCTCTAGCTAGAATATTGAATTGAATAAAAGATATACAATTTATGGGAAAAACACTTTTTGTAAAACGTCAGTAGCCGCGTTGATTTTGAGGTATCGTATTAACCATAATTAAAACAAATGAATGTTTTTTTTTTCTAAAAGGACGGCAAGTAATTGATATCCTCTTTATATCCCCAACCACCTATACGTGGAGATATTTGAGATGAACAATGAGACTCGATCGAATTCCTTAGCCCATTGAAGAACTGACCGAGCGACCATAAAAACCGTAGATACCTACACGTAGGTAATACACAGGTTATAAGGGGGCATAAAAAAGTAGGGACCGCGTCGGAGGTCGGACCGACTACCCGAGAAACAAAGACTTCGTTTATTTTTTAACAGCTCGCCCGTTCACAAAAGAAGGCTTCGCGGCACGAAAAACGACCCAAACGAGACCATCTTGTTAACCTTTTTAAAAAGAAATCGCGCGCCCGCTAACTAGAATTTCGACTCGAAAACCGAGAAAAGTTCGCCGCGGCGTTGTGCGCACCGGACGTCGCAGGCGCCTGCGCAATCATTATGTAAATTCTGATTATTATTGTTATAAATGCGGTAAAAAAATTGGGATGAGAGTCGCGGCCATCATCTTAGCGGCTCGTTACAAAATGCCCGTCAGTATAATTTGACGGGTTATCTTTTTCGAATATCAGTGTTGTTTACTTGGAGAGCAGAGCGCAGGCGCGATAGGGTTGCAGCGCTAGATCATTAACGGGATTACTGATACCCGTCCTCGTGACATTAAATAGAAAAAGGCGTTATGTTTTAGCTATAATAGAGGTTTAATTTGAGTCTGTTCATCATTTTGTTAGTAGCCGGCTAACAACCGATGCGCTCGTAAAATTTGACTGCACTTAATAAGGGCGATTATCGCTCAGAGACGCAAGTGGCGGCGCGTATCACAAGACACGCGGTGATACCACTCTTCATTACCTGAAAATCGCTCTAAATGGTAATAGCGTCGCGAAGAAGATCGTTGATCGACCTCGTCCGATCGAAATTAACGAAACAAGCGCAAATTTTTCTTGAATTAATTTTAATAAGGTAACAACTGACATTATGCATTTTGAGTAACTGTTTTTTATCGAGCGAACCTAAATGGAGTATCTTGAAAGGTATTTACAGTGGTGTAATTTCAGTCCATATTGGCGGAGTGGAAAGGCCTATGTAGATATTTTTTATATGTATTGTGCTGTAAAAAGAGTTAATTAGGCACGTCTAAGCTAGGATCGACATCTCTCACTAAATGAGTGACAGCTAAACACTGCAATTATGAGGTTCCCGTCTCACTGAAATAACTGTTTATAATTGACGCGGCTGCCTTACTCTGCGTAAATGAACAACGTTTTATGTGAAAATGTTGCTAATGAGTGAGTGGATCGCGGCCCTAATGACGCGGACATAGTTCATGAAATCGAGCTTAGTGCGTGTACTTTGCTTTAATTATTATGACATAGCTTTCTTATGGATAAACGCTACGACAATATGACAAACATTGCGGTGTATTGTGGCGATTCTGTTACATTGTTAGACTGACTTAACAGCTGTTATTGGACTGTCTTTGTTATTACTTACAGCTACTTTGTGAATGAACTTTTATTCATAAGCTGGTATTTAACGATGTATTTATAAAAAAAAGGTTTTTAGTCCGTTACCGTTTGATTTTATTTCGGTTCATTAAATGAAAAAAACAAATGTCATATTTTTATAAGTTTCCGAGACAATCAGGGCGAGTAATTAGGTAACCCATGTAGGTTTTGTTCCATTTTCCGTCAACGTCTCGACAATAATTGTTATTTAATCATTCTGATAGCCCTGCAGTTACCGGCAGTAAGACGATTCCCTCTATATTGTGTCATTAAGGGATTGTTCACCTTTGTTGTTATTTTTTTCTTCTATAGGGCTGGGGGCAAAATGTAGTTTGTTTTTTAAAATAATATCTACCGACTTGTAAGTACGT